TCACATGCACGCACCGGGAAGATGATCTTCTGTTTTCCGGCACACGCATGCGCACTGACCACCTGGTCTTCTGGTTTCTGGCGCTCATGTGCATGTCGGAAATTGTAAGATCATCTTCCTGGTGTGCGCATGCACACCGGGAGGCTGCTCTTCCCATTTCCGGCTCTCCTGCGCATGTGGAGACCAGCTGTCTAATGTACTGTAACTCGGAAGAGGAATGGGCGACGGCTAAGCATGCCACTTCTAGCACGTGATTTACAGGAAAATTCTTCCTTGTGACAAAATGGATTATCCCAAAGGTGCTTTTCCAAAAGGCAGCTGGACTTTCTTGATTTGGAAAAGCCCTTTTGGGACAACCATGATGTGGATGACTGAGAATCTCCATAGACATTTAAAAGGGGTTACCTTTACACCCAAGCCTAACACTTGTCTAATCATAGTTTAACAGATGATCCCTAACGGCTGTTTGCATAATACACAATTAAAATGAAAGAAGCCCCTTTATACCTTAGCAGCCAGCCTTTCCATTACTCAACTGTAGGATCATGTGATTTGTATAGAGCAAATGTATCCAAATGTTTGGCTTGCCTGGACCACACATAAAATATATAATATAAATTAATGTATGAAAATACATGTTAAAAGTTTACAATCTTGCAGAGTTGCAATACTAGCATAATCTGGATCACAGGTGATCTGAACATTCACATTTAACAGAAGCTACATTAAACCAAAGGAAATTTTCCCAGAAAAGTGTAAGAAATACGAGGTTCTTTAAATATTAAAAGGTAAGAAGTCCCATGTTCAAGAGAGTTTCCTACTAAAAATGATGTTTGCAAAATATAACTACATGAACTATATTCAATTGAGCTTTTCTGTATTCTACAAAAGAATCCTCATACTTTTGTAAGAAAAGCAACAGAGCTAAGACTTCATAAAATGAGCTGCTATGGACTAACAGTCAATTTTATTGCCATAACTAGAAAATGTAATGTTAATTTACAATTAAATGTGAATTGCAAGTTTAAGCAGATGAATAATTTCGTAGTATTGTTTTAAAATATTTCAGTATTTTATAATACAATTCACACTTAAAGTCAATTTCCCCCATCAGCATGAACACACAAAATCAAGACAACAACCACCAGAGTAAAACACTGACACTTTATTAAAAATTCAAAATTTATTGCAAATTATATTTTGCTTCTCTCCTTTCTTCATTTTTACATGATTTATTGATATCCATGATTTTTTCACAAATATACTTGTTGACTTTGGAGAGTCTCTGTGCAATTTCTGTTTCATCCAGAGTTTCTTGTGCTATTCTGTCATACAAACATTCTAAAAAGAAAGAAAAAGAAAATATGACATTTAGAATAAAAATTAAACACATTTAAAATGCAGTGAAAACCCTTAAGCAAGGTATACATCATGCATAGAATGAATGCAGCAACTCGTTGAAAGAATTAAAAAGTGAAGAAGAGCCTGCATATAGCATCGATCTGAAAACTCCTTTCCAACAGCATATGCTTTCTATATTCACCTAAGACTGATAAACTACATTCACACTAATGTATTTAAGATGTCTTTGGTAGACATTTTAATCATAAGCCATTGACTCTGAAATGGCCATGTCCCTCAATCCAGGGAAAAAACAAGCCTATAATTTAATTTTGAGTGAATATATTTTTGTAAAAGCATTGAAAAGCACTTAAAAGGCATTTTATGGCTTTTTTAAAAACATCTTTATTTATGCTTATTCAAGCAGACATTTTGATTCAATCAGTCATGATAACATGAATAAATGAGAGAGAAAATTATATGGACTTCCTTCCTCAATGTTGCCATCCATGAAACATACTGTTTGTAGGTTTCTAGTTCTCTCGCCACTTTATAAATTATACTTTTAAAATATAAATAATAATATCGTGGTAGATAAAGTGGAATTCCAGAACAAAAATACAATCTATAGCAGTATGTTTAACAGATAACAATTCTAAAAATTCTTTCATAACATGGAAATGCCAAGACAAAATAATATTAGATAATAGCATCCATGTGAAAAAGTATGTGTTACGAAGTACAGTAATTTGTTTCTTCTTCCAAATTAAATGGTTGTTTATTGTTGTGACTGTTATAAAGGGGAAGACTAGGTAACCCCATAAACTAAAACAGTTCGATTAACTGTCATTAAACAAATTGACAGTAAATAGTCTCATTTATGAGACATGGCTTACAAAATTATGTCTCATCATTATTAAACTCCTTAGCACTCAACATACAAGCTACAGTAGTCTGCTTAAATATATACTGCCTTTGTTATACTGTATAAACTATAGTGAAAAGTGCAATTACTACCAGTACTAAATGGTTTCCAAAGTAAATAAACAATTTCTGCTGTTTTTAGTATTTTCACTCAGCAAATATTTATTATATATGGTAAACAAAATAGAGAGTCACTTAATTAATGGGTTTTATGGCATTGTTAATGCACATTAAAGTTGTAACAATTAACTATTCTACATCCTTTGCATCTTCTCTCACACCTTTCAGAAGTTTTATAGAAGGCTATTTTTCAGCCACAAGATCTGCAGTGGTTGCATACCAACACTTTTTAATAATTTTCTCAGAATAAACTACACAATAGGGACTAATAAACAAAAAGACACATAAGACCCATTAAGACCTAACACCATCTTTTTAAGATGTATTTTATGGAAGCTATTCTAGAATAAAAAGAATAAAAACTATCTCAGCTACAAATTTTATGAGCAGTTTGAAATGTGTTAGTATTTTTTATAATGAGATTTGAAAAATAACAAAAGAGATGACTAAAACAGTGATTTAAATTAAAACACGGAAAGAGGAATTCGATTAAGGCAAAGAAGCACCCATTCCTCTTCAGTACTGAACTAGGGAGCGACTGAAATCGTTATAATTGAAATCTATTCATAGTAAATTAAAGCATTTTATTTCCACTATGAAATTCTACCATATACTAATTCCAACATACCACATGTATGGGATTTTGTCCAAAGCTTTGTAAGTAAGCATTTCACATGTAATCAAATATCAAATTGCACCAGAATTACAGTCTGCCTATCAGACTTGTTTTGGGAGACATTATATTGTTCTTCCATTTTGGTTCAATGTGTCTTTTCTGATAGGCTGTTTGCTTTTATTACATTTTGGGAGGAGGGAATGGCACAGCTCCACTTCTGGTTTATTTTGTATGCAATCTTATTTCCCACAAATTGCTATATAATTAAAATATTCATTCCTATCTCTTTTAATTCTCCCCACCCTCGTGATGGGGAGCTCTCACCCACATTCCTTTGTTGTCTTCCACATCGTCATCTGCAGAAATAAGAATGTGGAGTCTTTGGTGCCCTCTGAGCTTGTTTTGCTTATAGATGTTTCGTTACCTGACTAGATAACATCAGTGCTAAGGAGTATAGGGTTTGCTCCCTGTTTATATGCAGTAGCTTGCCCTGCCAGTGTGGGTATGGGGAGGTTATGGGTTACCATAGGTTTCCTCCATGGTAGCTGATTGATTATGGTACTGCTTTATGCTTGATTACTTGGTATTAATTTCTGCTTATCTGGGTGTAGACTGCTAGGAAGGATATGTTTCGGTCTTTTTGTTTCCTTTTTTAAATTGTCTCTTTTTAATAGTGTGTAAATGTGGTTTATCTCTATTGATGGTTGATTTATCTGAATGCTAAGCTTCCAGGAATTCCTTAGCAATACCCTAAGGTCAAAGGTATCTAGCAGCTGAACAAAATGCCAACGGCACTAGAGGTGGAGGTCATAAGGAACCCACACATGGTTTTGTTGGGAGAATGTTAGTATACAGACAACAGGCCACGGTTGGCATTTCTGTAAAAAATAAGTGAGTGAGGAGTCACACACTGATGGGAGCTGAGGAATATCTTGATCACTGTGGAGGAGTGGCTTCTAGGTTTGGAACTGGGAGGGACCAAGCCAGAAATGGTTTGGATCGGGAGGTTTCTTGCCTAATGAAGGGTTGGATTTAGTTATCAAAGGCAACTGGGACTGCCAGGATTGCTCAGCCCTGTGTTCACATGATGTTGCGCTTTACAATTGCATCACTTAGCAATGAAAATTCTGGTCCCAACTGAAGTCGTAACTCAAGGACTACTTGTAGCTCCCTTCCTAAGATATATACATAGGACTGTGTAAGCTGTTTGTCACTTCAGCAGCTGTATTAGAAAACAAGATTCTTTTAGTCGTTGCTTCATGTAGTTTGAAGAACACTCACATAATCAAAATAACCTACCTCTGACAATGCTTAACTTGTGAGGTGAGAGAGGCGGCTTAGGAACAGCATCTTTCTTTTTCTTAGTGGCCACACCTGTAACACTTCTATTTTTAAGAACATCGGTTCCCCAAATCATAACTGCTAAGTTTTTTGTATACTTTGAATCTCCTTGCGTTACTTGCAGCTGGTGCCATTTCTCCTCATCTACCCAGATGCCACTTCCAAGATGAACCTGGAGTAGAAAGTGAAATAACAGGTGGTGGTTACCTGGAAAGTTTGTTCCATCCTTCATAAGTAGCAGGAACAATGTTTTAACACAAAACACATTTATCCGTAGTATCCAATGACTGAAAAAGTATGAAATATTAAAAACAATTTGATTGTCTAAACTATGTGCAAAATCATGAAATGACATGAAATGAAAAGCCATAAAGAGTGCAAGTTGTAAATGGTTTTTATCACCATAAAGGATCTCCTGGGATGAAGATAATGTTTCTTCCCTTCGTGGCACGAGAAATCCGTGCTCGTCAAAATAGCGGTGATTAAACCGCGTCGCTAAAGCCGCGACGTCATCACCGCCGCGACAACAGTGCGGCGACAACAGCACAGAGACAGAAAGGCATTCTACATGCTTCGTTCTTTGCCAAGGCTCTCTACATGGGGCAGCCCTTGAAGAGTATTCGGAGACTTCAACTCGTCCAGAACGCAGCCGCACGAGCGGTTGTGGGTGCACCTCGGTACACCCATCTTACACCTATCCTCCACGAGCTGCACTGGTTACCGATCAGTCTCCGGATACGCTTCAAGGTGCTAGTCGTAACTAACTTCAAGGTGCTAGTCGTAACTA